AAGAAAAGAAAAACAGGTTATGAGAAGCCGTTATAACATAACAAACGGAATTTTAACCTAGAGTTAAACAACCACTCCTCAACTTCTGCCACAACTTTGACAAGTATGATCTCAATTAGAGAAACATCCAAGAATTTTAATGCCGTCCGCACAAAAACGTGCTTCTCTCAAGCCGATTCTGCTCAAGAGCTCCCAAAAGAGGATTAAATTAATTATCAACAGAAATTTAGATCTTTCAATTATTTTTGCCATAGTCATAGACAACGCTTGCAAAAGCAAAAAGACCTAAAAAGAGCAAAGTCAAGATAGAGTACTGATTGAATAAAACCATACGACAGAAATATAACTGCTTTACTGCAAAAAAATCTTTTCGGTAGTTACATTAAAATAAACGAGAAAAACTCTTTCACTTTCCTTCCAATTTCTTTAATGAAGGTTTCCTCTCAGGGTTATATGAAACAGTGTAAATATCAAAATTTTTTCAATTACCTAAGTGAACCTGGGAACACTATAGGTCTAGAACCAAGTTTTTATATTTAAAGTCAGCTCTTACTTGCACAAGTTTAAGTCTATCTTTTCCCTATTAAGGAGCAACAATCCATTTACGATACTACCTGCTCTCCACTGTACCAGCCTTATGAGTCTTCACCGAGTAATTAATTAAAATTAGACGTGTCTAATCGGCCTGTAAATGCAAATATCTACCTGTATGATCGTGGGACGTTAAATTGCTGCACTTCAGTCATATGTTCGAAACCAATGCCGATGACGTTCCCCGAACAACAATCTGTAATACTTTTCGACAATTTCAAAGGCTGTTAGTGATGACACTGAAAGGAAAGAATGGATCACCGTATTTGGTAATATACATTTTGAGGAAGAAGGAAAGATCATCACTTTTACTCGAACGCAACAACAAAAAAGAAAATGAATTAAAAGAATGCTCATAAAAACAAAATTATTTTCAACCGATGGTAACGGTAAAAAGGAAACGTTCAAAGTGCTGCAAAGCAGTCGCAAAGACTTTAAAAAATTCGTAAAATAACTGATGTTTCGGCCATCAAATAGTATGTACATTGTGGGAAAAAAAAATTAACTGCAAATGTAAAGAAAAACGAAAAAAACCACCACCTTAGCAAACACCCACTTTTCAAAAAATTACTTCAGTACTTTAGGTCTCTCTAAAAAACTTGCACCAGAATATTACACAACACTGGCAATGAAATGGCTCCAGGAAACAGCAACAGTCAAACAATTGAAACCACTAGAAGTCCTCACACAAAGCCCTTTAACGGACTTAGAAAAAAAAAGAAAAACCGAGAAATCCATTCCCAACTACCACTGTCCACACTTAGTGAAACTGTATATGAAGCGACTTATAAGAGCCACCTGTCGCACCCCATTCTCGTCAAACTTTAAAGGCCTCTCCTACAATTCTCAATGTCAGACCTTCATGTTGCTGGTGTTTCCATTTAATTCAAATTTCAGAAGCCTTCTTGATTCATGAAGAAACCGCCAAGAATGCAAAATTTGCACGAACGATTACACAACTGCAACTACTACTTCTTCACCAAGTCAACATGGAAACAAATTTATAGCAATCAAATTTATTTGCGTACAACAAAGCTCAATATAACATCTGAACAAGCCAATCACACAATCACTACAACCAAATTATACCTTCTCCCCCAATGCCGGCCGTCCTACCAGCCCCTAAACTTCAGATCTATTTCACATACTAAGTATCACCTACCATTCATACATAAAACACTTTCAAATGTACCAAAAACACCTCTGGCTCGAACAGGCCAGAGATATTTTTCAACAATCAGATATGTAATACAACGAGAAACATCTAAACAATTTTATTGGCATCCAGGCATAAATCAACAAACAACGAACAAAACAATATCTTCATTCTTCTGGGATATTAATTTCCCCACTTCTGATTTGATCAACAATATCATGAGGGTGTTGCCCGTTTATCGTACATCCCACTGATTGAGCAGTACCTAAAAAAAACACTTACTTTGGAAGACGGCAAAAAACTTTTCAAAATTAAGTAACATATAGGAATAGTAGTATAAACTATACCAAGAATTTCTTTAACAGTTCCTTCAAGCTTTTTGGCCATCGACCTAGACCGCATTTGCCTTGCAACATTAATTATCTGCTCCAACGTCAAATTTCCGGAATGTTTCACTGAAAAATTATTGCAAAACAATTTCCTCCACGTAATACATGTGGCATTAAACATCAAAACAACACGTAAGTATTTGGGGTTCGGTGATTTACTTTTAAAAAACCACATTAAAAGCACAAATGAGTTAAGAGAAATACATGAGGGAAGCAGTAAGTTTAGCTGAAAGCTCGAATGCCCTTACCCGTATGATCCCCATCTCCACAGTCATAATGACAAATACCCCGACACAAAAGAGCATGAATTTAGGCACACAAAATATCCTTTAAATTTAATTCTCACCAAAATGTCAATTCCGTGTTTACTCGAGTTACCAGACTTTCAAATAGAAGAAAGACTGGGGGATGGGGACCAAGCGCGGTCACCCGACCCTCCGCTTAAGCACCGAAGAATTTCGCATACCATTCTTGACTTTTTTCCTATCCCGTGGTGGTTCTTTTAGTTCCTTGATGAGCAGAGATGCTGCAGAGGGGACTACGTCAATCTTTGCAACACGATTTTGGATCGTCAATTTACAAGTAACCTTCAGACCCTTCCAGTCAGCTGTGGCCTTCGCAATATCATCACCAATTTTCTTGGGCGACTAAAAACAACAATTATTAAAGCCATCCAGCAGCAAAATCATAGTTGTGGGCAAGTAACTTTTGCTTTAGGTAAGCAAAAAATGAGGAAATTCCAATCTTACCAAACCTAGAGGACCGACTTTCGGGGCCAAAGCTGAGGTGGCACCTACTTCGCCACCAACACATCTGAGATAAACTGAAAGACAACACAGTTATCACAACAAAAAAAAGCTTTCTCCTCCACCCTGTAGGTCCACCACCAACCAAGTTATAATCCTATTGCTAATTACCGGTAAAAATGAACAAGAAGTAAAAACAAGTGGACGTTGTCGTACGACCAACAGTAGTACTACGATCAACATTATGAAGGCCATCAACCAATTTCATATCCCAAAATTTCAAAGCTTACCAATCTTAACTTCGTTAGGATCAAACTTCGGTGGCATTTCCGTTTATACCAATCACACCGCTGACTGCCGAAACACCTTCCACAAAAAATGATGTGCCCGGCTAACCAAAGAGGCAATTCCTTCAAATTGTGAACCATTTCAGCAAGTTCTCGAAAAGAAAACTACTGTAGCATTTCAAATGTTATGTATTAATTCAGCCTCTTGCAGCTCCCTATTACTTCTTAAAAATTTTTACTTTACACCAATAAGTCAGTGCACTTTCTTTTAGGGAGGAAGTTACTGCTGTTGCAGTATTTAGCCTA